GGGAGGAAGGAAGGAGGGAGGGAAGGAAGAAGGAAAAGAGGAAGAAAGGAAGGGAGGGAGGGAAGAAGAAGGGAGGGAGGAAAGAGGGAGGGAGGAAGGAAGGAAAGGAGGGAGAGGAGGCAGGAAAGAAGGAAGGAAAGGGAAAGAGGAAGGAAAAGAGGGAGGAAAGAAGGAAGGACAAAAGGGAGGGAGGAGGAAGGGAGGGAGGAAGGAAAAGAGGGAGAAAGGAAGGGAGGGAGGGAAGAAGGAGGGAGGGAGGGAGGGAAAAAGGGAGGGAGGAAAGAGGGAGGGAGGAAAAGAGGGAGAGAAGGCAGGAAAGAAGGAAGGAAAGGGAAGGAGGAAGGGAGGGAGGAAGGAAAAGAAAGAAGGAAGGAAGGAAGGAAAAGAGGGAGAAAGGAAGGGAGGGAGGGGAAGAAGGAGGGAGGGAGGGAGGGAAAAAGGGAGGGAGGGAGGAAAGAGGGAGGAAGGAAGGAAAAGAGGGAGAGGAGGCAGGAAAGAAGGAAGGAAAGGGAAGGAGGTAGGGAAGAAAGGAAGGAGAAGCAAGAAGGAAGGAAGGAAAAAAGGGAGGGAGGGATGACTGAATGCCTTCAGAGTTGCACTGGAGGCACTGGAGGCTCAGCCCAGCTCCGCGGGAGTCCCTCCATGAAGCCTCTCAGAAGCCCGAGAGGAGCCCGGCGCGCGCCTCCCTTCCGCCTCGACCCGCCGGCCTCCGTGCTCCGTCCCGCCGGCCAGGAGAGGGCGGCCGCGCACCGTCTCCTCGCCGCCGCCGCCGCCGCCATTGAAGCGCTGAGGGAGCGGACGGAGACGCCAGGCCTGGCGCGCCGGAGAGAGCGGGCGACCTCCGTCCAGCCGTCCCGCTCGGGGGGCGCGCGGGGGGCGGGGAGAGAGAGAGAGAGAGAGAGAACCGGCCGCCGCGCCCGTCCCGCCCGCCACCTTCCCCGACGCAGAGGCCCCCTCCGCGCCCGCCGGCCTCCCCCGGCGCTCCCGGTACGCTCGGTGGGCTCTCCGGGGCGGCTGGAAATCTCCTCACGTGGCTGATACGATGAGCGTGGGGGGCCCCGAGCCTGTCAACCGGCCGCCTCTCTCGGACGCTGCCGCGGACGGGGTGGGCGCAACGGAGGAGGCCGGCCCGGGGCAGAGGGGCAGCGCCCACAGTTGCCAAACTTTGTGCCCAGTTTTGCTGCGTTGTCGAGTTCGCTGCCTGGTTCAGTTTTGAGGGTGGCCCGAAGTCCACCGGGATGGGCTGGCCAAAAATCTGAATGAAGAAGGAGCCATTAAGTAAGAAAGAAAGATAGATAGATAGATAGATAGATAGATAGATAGATAGATAGATAGATAGA